TCCATCTCCAGTTACTGAATTGCTCACTGAAGATGATAAATCGGTTGGAATATTGTTCTCCATATTCAGAAGAACAGAAAAAGATTGCAGAAAATCTGACCGGAATTAATGGCAGATTATGATCGGAATCAGTGGTGGATATTTTCATCCATTCTCTGATACGATATTAGAAACAGAAGAAAAGAAATTGAAATGGAAATGCACATTTCATTAAATGAATTAACTGTACAAACGTATTTATAAATAAAAGAAATACAGCTAACTAATGACAGTTGTACACAGCTAACAACTAAAATCCCGCCTAAACTATACAAAGCTTGAGCTGGAACTTGAGTTGAAGCTTGCTTGGAACTTGAGCTGAGCCATATATTCTAACATGGCGCCGTTTATTCTAATGCTGAAAAAAAAATACTGTAAGAAACTATTATACGACTAATTACGCAAGATAATTAATAATTTTTTTCCGTACTTTTAGAAAAGTAAGGCGAGCCAACAATATCGGGTTCGGTAAATTTAAATCTGGAAGTATTTACATGTTTGTGTATGTGTGTGAAACACGTTTTATGTTTATTCATCTCACCACGGAGTCAGCGTCAATTCAACTCTCCAGACATTAAAAATGGAGACATGGTTTGACATGAATTGGGTGTTAGTCAAACAAAGGTTGATGAAATTAGACATGCCTTGCAATATAGTGCACGGGTTGATTGGGGTTCGAGTCTCATTCGAGAGAATAGTGAAATAAAAAAAAATGAATTTTATGATTTTTCAAAATTTTAATATTGTAGAGTAATCCTCGATTGACTAGACTTAAAACTATATGAGTTTTGGAACTCAAATATTCCGTTTTAAATCTGGACGACCAAAGCCTTCTATTTCAAATAAGTTGGGGACCTCAACTATGGTTTTTTTACGAAACAAATGTAAATATTGGACTCATTTTCTGGTTCAATCAGAAAATTGAGAACCATTTTGATTTTAGGTAAAAAAAAAAAAAAGAGAAAATTTAAAACTGTCAAAAGAAGTAAGAACAACTTAATTTTTTTATTTTTTAGGGATAATTGCAATAGTGGTCCCAAACCTTTCAGTTTTTTGTAGACTCTACCTTAACCTTTTATTTTGGTGGATGCAGTCCCAAATCTTTCACTTTAACGACAGTTGGAGTCCATTGAACATATTTCATCCAATACTCCGTTAGTCAATCTGAAATAAAATGATTGACTCAACTTGACAAATTACATGAGGGGTAAAATGGTATATTTACAATTTCTATAATAAAACAATTAAAATAATTAACCAAAACAGAAGTATTGTTCATCCGCCACGCCACGCCCTGCCCCTAAAATAAAAAATTTAGGAAACTCAGTCCCCGCCATCACTACTACCTGCCCACATGACACAGATGAAGGAATTAAAAAGTTAATTTCAAACTTTGAAGCCAAGATAAATTTAATAATATTAAGATCTTCTTGCATGCTCTGAAAATTTTGTTTAGAATCCCCACAAGTTATTCATAGAAAAGTACATGTATTTCAAGACACAAGTTCTCTTCAAATCTCTCCAGTTGCTTGATACAATAATCATCATTTTCCTAATAAATATATTAGGAAAACAAACAATAAATTTCTACAATTGGTGACTATAAATTTCTACAACTTTTTTCTCTAATATTTGCCTTACAACGAGAACAAACAGTAGATCAACAGTCGATACCAGAATTGGATGATCCTCGTTTATCTAATTGGTAATCTCATATTGTTAACAACAGTTGATCTTTTTCATGATTTATGGGGTAGAGCTGGCTTTTGCAGATCTACAATTTGGTCATATCCAGATTTTTGAATTGTTGTTTGAGATTTGGGTACGCAGTGATTAGGGGTGGGCGTGGGTTGGGTTGGGGGTTTTTGCCCCAACCCAAAACCAACCCAACCTTGTTGGTTTGTTCGAAATACAACCCCACCCAACCCATGTAAATGTTGAAACCCAACCCAATCCAACCCAATTATGTGTCGGTCGGGTTGGGTTGGGTTGGTCGGTTTGTATCGATGATTTCCATTAACTAGTTCTAAATTACAATGTTTCAGCTCATGTCTCAATTCAAATTTTCAACAAGAAAATCAAAACTAAAACGAGAATCTAAAAGAAATAAATGAATATATGGAAATAAACGAGTAGCCACTAAATAAAGTAGTGAAAATGAAGAAATGAGAGGTTAAATATGTTTCTTGGTCATGCTCAATGATCTATTAAATAAGTTTGTACAAAAAAATCTGCAAAATGAGGGCTGAATCTTAGTAATAAGTCGGAAAAAAAAATATGCAAACTTGGTAATTTACCTTGGGAAAAGAATTGAAGGTTGAATCGCCGATGCAAACCGAAAAGGAGAAAAAAAATGGGGGGCAAAATATGAAGAAAGGAGGAGGAAAGAGAGAATTAGGAAGTCGGCGCTTTTGATTTATATTGTTGGGGAAATGTTGGAAGTGTTGTGCAGGTTTAGTTGAAATATGTTTGAAAAAAAAATGGCCCTTTTTTTTTTATTGACGGGTTGGGTTGGGTCGGGTTTGGTCGGGTTGGATGGATTAACCCACAACCCAACCCAACCCGACCCACTAAGCTTTGCCAGAACCCAACCCGAGAAAAAAAATGGAAAAAAACCGACCCAACCCGATCGGGTTGGTTTGGGTCGGTCGGGTTCGTCGGGTTGGTTCGGTTTTTGCCCACCCCTAGCAGTGATGATGGTTTACAATGGCTGTGGTGGGCAAAGCGGCGGCGGGCGGTTGGATGGCGGTGGCGACGGTGATTGAGTTTCTTGATTTTTGATTTTAGGGAAGGGGGTGGGTCTTTGGAGAATATAAACAGTGCTTTTGCTTTGGTTAATGGTCAATACATAAATTGAAAATATATCATTTTACCTTTCATTTTGTCAAGCTAAGTCAAACATTTTATTTCAGATTGACTAACAGAGTATTGGATGGAATTTATCTAATGGACTCCAATTGCCATTAAAGTGAAAGGTTTGAGACTACACCGCCAAAATAGAAGGCTAAGGTACAATCTGTAAAAAATTGAAAGGTTTGAGACTACTGCTGCAATTATACCTATTTTTTAATACGTTTTTATATCACTGGTTCAACTTTAACCATTTACTTTCTAATTTTATTGATCGATATTCTATTTCAATTTTCTCAAAACATTCTACTCGATCAATTATCGTGATGCTTGCAATTTTCTAAACAAGATATCAAATCTTTTCCTTTTAGCAAAGGAATAATATCTTTAAAAACTCGTGGATTTAGTAAATAGTCGATCGAAGACACCAAGGATATTATAGTAATTCTCCGCGAAACAGCTCAACTTTGTGAGTGGGAATTCAGCGGCACCGTGAATCATTTCCTGTATGGGACCCACTTCAAGTGGTCCAAAAATACAAGAAAACATCAAATTAAATTAGTTGGTCCCACAATAATTTCATCCCTTCGATCATTTGACACGAAACCCAGTATGGAGAGATGTTGATTGGCTTATTTGCACAAATAGTCCCTAATGTATGACCTCATTTAAAATCAGGATCTATCTTTTTAAACTTGGCATTGACATTCCCATACGAATGTTTAAGTGCGAAAATAGTCATTTCTCTAACGTGCAATCCAGATAACCATTAAAAATTTTATTTTTTTATTTTTCATCAAAAAACCTATTACACCTTAAATGCAGTTCAATAAGTTAGAAATTAAAATAAAAGAAAAGTAAAGGTAGAAAAAAAAAAAAAATTTCTTCATCTTCAACCACTCCCTCCCATTGCCAACGCTATCACTTTCCCGTCGTAACACCATCTACAAACCTGTTGATAAGACACTATTTTCAATTACTTTTTCATGTTCTCTCACTTTCTTTTCCTCCTCCTGACGTGTGTTTTTATATTTCTCTAAATGTTATAATCAAGAAAATGATTTTAAAAAAATGCCACATATTTTCACTCCTAGGTAAAAGACAAAAAAGAGCTCTAACAAATTTTAGATGAGCCTTCTAGTAGCGAAAGAACAAGGTCGAGTCTTTTCTAGAAACAAATGATTTTCATTATAAAATAGAAATGTTGGGAAAAGAAAGAGAAAATAGAGAATTTAGAAATTCCTTCAACTCTCTCAAAAGTATATCTTTATTTGTAATTTCAATTTGAATTAAAATTCTACTCTGAATGAATGGCGGTTGGGCGCAACTCAATTTTGCATTTGTTAGTTCGGACATAAACTATTGATTTTGAGAAATTAATTCTTTTCTAGGAAGGTTAGTTTGATCAGTATGATGATGAAATTGTTGTGGAGGTATGGTAATGGCCGTGATAACATCTGTGGAAAGGAAAGGAGGGACTTTTATGGTTTGGACTAGGTAGAATGGCAAGGAGGAGGGGACGTTAAGTGTTGGAGTGGGGGTGGGATGGATTGTTGGAGAAGATGCATTTCTTATTTTATTTTCTATTTATCTAAATTTAAGGTATAGTAGTCTTTTTGACAAAAAAACTTTTTGCCTTTTTAGAGGTCAACTAGACGACATGTGACGGAAAAGATCATTTCGGCACTTAAACATTTGTATAAGAATGAAAATGCCATGATTGAAATGATAGACCTTGATTCTACAGGAGGATCATACATCAAGGACCATTGGGCAAATAAGTCGATATTAATTTATTGGAATCTTGCCTGAGTCATGTAACGGCAATGTGGGCCCTTACATGGGATTGGGTCTCAATCATTGGACATGGACGTTACTTTAAATATTGTCCACTGACAAATGACATTTTAAAAAATGGGTTGGAATCCGATTTATAATTGGAATAAAAGTGGTTCAATTGCATGAAATCATCAATATATAATTTCAGACCAAAACTATGGGCATAGTCTTCACAATTCCATCAATCATAAATTGGAAAGACTCAAAAAGAGCCCTTTAAAGACTCAGGTGAGAGTATCCAATTCTTACAACAATATTTTGCAATCTGAGCCATGTTACACAATAGGTCGAACTTGATCTCGAGATCGATAATCTCTAGCAATAGATTTGAGCTAAAGAAATATGATTTTGGTGGAGTGGGATTAGGCATCGTTGCTGCTCTTGATAAATCTCGTGAGGGTAGTCTAGCCTTGTGTAGTCGGAATTTGAATCGGTCCAACCCAGTTCCGGTCAATTCACCCTGGAATTCGTCGAGATTTAGGGGTGGTTTTGACGAAATGGAGATGGACAGTAGTTTCGAGGAGGATTATACTATTGTGACTTGTCATGGTCCAAACAAGTCCTATACTAAGGTGTATTTTGATGGATATGAACATGGTAGAAGAGGTGATGACAGAACACCCTTCAGAATACAACAAAATAATAAAAAGACTATAAGGGCAAGCGTTTTCGAGATATCTCCGGCAAGATCCATAGAAGTTGCCGGATTTCCAGCTTCAGATTTTCTCAGCTCATGCCATATGTGCCAGAAGAAACTCCTAGGCAAAGATATATTCATGTACAGGTATCTTTTTTATACGCGTTCTAACTTATTTTTCTTTGTTAATCTTATCCAGTATTCTCGAGAGTCGAGTCTAGTATATCAAACATACTCACAGAAAATATTGATGATCCGTTTGAACATGATTTGCAGGGGTGAGAAAGCATTCTGCAGCACAGAATGTAGAGACAGGCAAATAGTGATGGATGAGCGCAAAGAAAAGAAATACAGTTCTAAAGCTTCAAGATCTGTTGATGTTTCAAACTCACCTTATACGAATGACAACATCTTTTCAACTGGAATTCTGGCTATTTAGGCTAAATAAATGGCTTGCAGATTATCTAGCCATTATATAAATATCATAAATATAAGAAACATCATCTATAGTTTTATTTTTTCTTTGCTTTTTAACCAAAATTTTGTAGAATTTTATGGTTAAATAAGATATAAATTTTTGACTTTGATGATCAGCTCTTGGTTGTTGGGGACAGTAATTCAGTATCTGACCAAATTTTTAGTGCGTATTACTTTAGTTTGTGAAGCATAAAACTTGCAGATGAAAAGAGAAATTTTTTTAGTGCGTATTACTTTAGTCTATGAAGCATAATGCTGAATTTGGAAAGTACCGGGGTACGAACTACAGTTTGAAAAGTATAATGTCCTTTGTACAATCACGGATGACAACTTTATTGACAATTTGTGTGTTAGCAAGAAACTATTGACTGCAAAAATAATTTTTTGTTAAAACTGGCCACTTGACATTATGTAAATAAGATTATCATCTATGATTGTATATCAAACATTTTTCGAAAAGAAAAATATGGGCGTTTGTTTTGAAAAGACGTGTGTTAAGAAAAGAGAATACACTTTGAAAAAGGCCTGCCTCTTTGGTTCAGACCCACCACAAGACCCCTTGAGGCACGAAATGCCAAGCTAGGGTTATAAGAGTCTGTTTCACGCGTTTACTCGCTAACAATTAAAAAGAGGTCAGACGATTTTGTAAGGGACAAACCTCTTTGAACAAAGTCCCAAAAATAGGTGTTTATTGAATATGAAGATTACAGTTTGGACACGAACAAGATGCCTCCAAAGGGCACAAGCACACAAGTACAAGGGAATTGAAATAATTGAAGTTAATCTAAGAAAAGTAAATTACATATTCTCTGTTTGAGAGTGAATTTTGTCGGGGTTATCTTCGTTGTCTTCTTCTTTCTTTTATATGGTTTGGGCAATTTTTTAATCGTTTAGAAACTACCTGAAACCACCCATTTTCTTTATCATAGCCAACATGTCAAAAACTGCCGTTTATAACTGTCACCACACGACTCCATACCATTGAGATTCTTATATCGTGGATGTGGCATGAACTACTTGAAACCGCTGCCTTGGATAATGACAAGACGTTGTCTTCACTGGGACTTTGGGCGACTTAATCGTTTGGGCGATGATGGACTCATAGCTCTTAGGCGACTACAGGGTATTCTATTCGCTCAGGCTCTGGGCATTCTGCAAGATTGGGTGATAGCATTACTTTGCTTGTGGGCTTCCATGTCATTTGTCCACACTCTTATCTGGGCTTTCACACTGGACCTTCAATTGGGCTTCGCTCTTTGGCCCTTTTAATTGAACTGCACTTTTTGTGTGTCAACAATTACCCCCCAATATGGCAGAATTAATACCGATTATTAATCTTTGCCATATTTACTTTCGTGTTTCTCTAGCAATATTTAAAATTCCTAAGAATTTCAATCATCACTACCTTTTGTTGTTTGAAAAGGTGCGACTTTACAAACCCTTAAACATTTCGAAGGACACGCCATTTCATAGTACCACTAGCCCACATCTCTGTTTCTTCGCGCTTCTTCCCTGCTATTACCACTGTTCATCTTCTTTCTTCTCTGCTACGCTTCACAGGCAAACTTCAACAGTCTTGTAATCTAATGGTCACTTCACGAACCCAGTTTGAGGCTCGTTTCAATTTCGAGGATTTTCAGAACCTTCTTGCCAAGCCCTATGTAAACCCCAGCTTTGTTGCACAAACCAACATTGCCCTGATGAATTCTACTTGGGGCCATCATTCAACAATGCTGAAGCTATTGAACAAATTGCGGCAGGCCAGCTTTTCCCTTGCACTCAGGGTCCTCCATTTTTGAATTCGCTGCCACTGAAGCCGATTCTCGAAAAAGGTATTCGCACTTGACCCAAAGCTGATAATAATTTTCGTAGATGGCATGCGCGTTTTGTAAAACATGGCCCCACCAAGACCCTTTTCGATCGTGCAAGGATTTCAGACTTATTGGAAATCGCTCTCCAACCCCAATCTATGACCCTGTGTTATTCCCAATCGCTTTAAGTTCTGGTCTTCTGAATATAATACCTTTGTTTTCCCACTTGGTCCCATGTCCATTACTTTGAAGGATGTAGGGGCTTTAGTAAATCTTCCCCTTTCGGGCGATACCATCTTCCCTGGCACATTAATTTCTAGCGCCGCCCCATAATTTGACAAAAAGGTCTCTGAATCTTACTCTAGTCTACAAGGCTCCTATACCCCTTCCATTTCTGAGCCTAATCATGCTGAACGGGTAGCCTTTCTTCAAGTCTGGCTTTGTAAATACGTTCTTTGCGTTCTTAGCCTGAAACCTTCCATGAGTTTTCTGCCCATAGCATATGAGTTGGCTCGTGGCAGACCTTTGAATTTATGTTCCTTTGTTTTAGCCGCCCTTTATAGAGGCATGGCTTCTCTTCAATTCCAGCTAGGGAATGGTGCATCTCCCACTGGTAGTGGCGCAGTTTGGCTCGCTCAGTTGTGGTTGAGAGCATATTTTTCATCATTGGGCGCTCCCTCTATTTCGCTTCCTTCTGCTAACTGCTATGGGCTGGCTATTAACTCAATGGGCTCTGTACGTATGTCCAGCAGGGATATTTTTTCGTTCTTTTATACTCGAACTTCTATTCCTTCCTTCTTTCCTTTTCCTGTCCATTTATCTCCTTTCTGTTATGGGCTGGCTATTTACTCTCTGGGCTCTGTATGTATGTCCAGTAGGGATATTTTTTCATTCTTTTATACTCTGATTTCTATTCCTTCCTTCTTTGCTTTTCCTGTCCATTTAACTCCAGATTATGTACATCCCCCATCCTTTCTAGATAGTGCAGGTGCCTCTCTACATAGTAACTGGAACCAATGCCAAGGCTGGGGTAGAAATATATGCCCCTCAATTCTTTGCCCGCCAACTTGGTTTTGGCCAAACTTGGCATGTCCCTCCTTATTACTCCAAAAATCTGGTAGATCATTTCCATACTATAAATAAAGCTAAGGCCCAAGCTATAGATGCTCGCAACCTCCTTTTGACTGGCAAATTTTCATTGGCCCCTTTTAGCTCTAGTTCTGCCACCCATCCTCTGCTATTTGCAACTGATGCTAATAATGCCTTTCATTTGCTGGATCGGTCTGGTGCCTCTTCTACTTCTCCTCTTTTGGTAACCCCTGCTTCAATTAGGAATCCTTCTTCCCCTCCTTACGCTAAATGTTCTATCCTTCCTTCGGCTTCTCAACTTGTCAAAGCTATTGCAGCCACAAGTGCATCATACCGTAAACAACCAGCTATCTCCCATCCTGCCAGACGATGTCGACGAGGATGATGACGCTCCTCTCATCCTTAGGAGAAAGGTAACAAGATTTGTTTACCCACAGTTACACTTCCCATTGTATTAATGATTCACTTGAATTTCAGAAAAGCACGGCCTCTCCTTCGAAGGCTTTAGTTTCGGCACCTCCCGCTTCATCACCTCCTGTTATAACTGCTTCATCCAGATCAGCTGACGAAGGGGCTATGCTTGAAGAAGTACCTCCAGTACCAACGACTTCATCACCCCCAGCAAAGGAGCCATTTTCTTCCCAGTGCGCCAACCCCCTAAATATCAAATTAGAAGGTGATACACACTTTGATTGTTTTACCTTTGCTCATGCTATCGACCTTTAACTCGTTGCTTCCTGATTTATGCAGAGGTTCCCACGAATTCGCCCATTGTGGTAGAGTCTTCTCGCCCAAACAAAGGAAAGTCTTCACAGGTGGTTGAACCAGTTGGTGGTGCACCTGGGCTTCCCGAAATTGCTGATGAGGTAATCTTTCACCTTGTTCTTCGTCTTTCGCTTCGTGTGCTGTGATGAATGTCCTAAAAGTTGGCATCTTTCTTTGTAGGGTACTGACGACATTCTACGCTCCATTCGAGATTTGTTTGCTTCTTTAGAGCAAGTAAAACCAACTCGCCTTGCTTCCACCAGTCATTCTTCCGCTTTTTCGGAGGAAAACATGAAGGCTCTCAAGTAGGCAGTGTTCGAGTATGTGTCCTTCATGGACATGGATATTAGCCGAGCCAATGCTGCCAAGCAGAAGGATAAATTTGAGCAACTAAGTGCGAAATTGGCTCAAGCACTTACACTTCCATCGCTCAACATTTCTGCTGAGTTTAAGACGAAACTGAAAGTTGTCCACTCCGAAATCCTTTCGTTACTAGCCAAGAATACTCCAAAGTCCTTTCGTTACTAGCCAAGAATACTGAACTCAAGGCCAAAAGGACTTAATACCTTCGTGCTGCCTCCGAAAAAGATTTGTTACTTTTAGAGATTGGCAAAACCGAGAACAAATTAAATGAAATCTCTTCCGACATCATGGTTGTGGACTCTTTGATGACCAACTTGGCTGCAGAAATGAAGGAGCTTCAAGCAAAAATGAACGACTGCAGGGCGAGGATGGTGGCTAAAAAAAGCAATGCTGCCCAAGAAATTGAACATGCCAAATCTCTGGCCGAACAGTGTAAAAAACTGGAAGTCGACGATGATTTGGTGGCGGACTTAAACTTCATTTCTTCCCGACAGGGCGAAGATTGGGGAAGGATAAGGGAACTAATGCGATCAGCTTTGGAGGAGTTGTAATTGAGACTTTTGATGTCCTTATCTTTGTAATTTTATGAACTAAACATCGTAATCATTTTTCAACTGTAATAGCAGTATTTGCCTTTAATGAACAATTGTTTTGTATGTTCGAGTATTAATTGACGTTCCTCTTTTAAGTCATCAACCCCCCAAGCACTTGATTATTTCTATGGTAAGATTCATGCATATCAATTTGCTCACCCTTCAGATTTTGGGCCATTTAATGTACGTGGCCTTTCATATTCCGACTTTTCATATTCGTTCCCTTATAAATACTTTTGTGCCTTCAGCACTTATCATCCCCATTCGTAGTTCTTCTCCAAGAATTATCTTGCTGCCATCGTCGAGCATCTCGATACTTTCTCCAATTTCACTTTTCCGTA